GAAGAAACTTTTGGGTTCTAGAATGGCCCCTTCTCCTTCCTTTGCTGTCCTGTTGAGTTTTCCCGCAGCTTTTGGGGAATGAGGACTTCAGAGCCAGGGTGCCCTAATATCCGGTGCCTCCAGTATTGCACCCGATAACAGATCTGGACGATCGTTTCCCTCCCGGTGGTCCCCTTTATCCAAGGATAATTATGCTTTTCTTTTGCCTTTTGTGTTAGGATTGTTCTGGACTATGCTTTTAGCGGTCTGATTCCCCCCCCCACACACACACACTAATACTCATCACCAAGTTCTTGGAATTTACTCCAGAGTTTCCTTGGTAACAGCTTGTGGTCCACAAAATGTTCTAGGGCATCTGTCAGCTTTAGCTGTGCGTTCTCTCTTTTCTTCCTTTCCCTCCAGCACTCATTCCTTTATAACGCTGGCTGGTGTTCTGTGCTGATCTGGATCTTCCTTGCCTCTTTCGATGCCTTCCCTTCCACTCTCCGGTCCCCTTTAGAGCTATTCTTGGTCACTTTTCTTTTCTTTTCTTTTCTTTGACTCTCAGAGCCTTTTCTTCTCCTCTTCCTCCTCCTCTGTTGAAGACTGCCCTAACCCTGAATCGGTTTTGCTCCCTGGGACCTTTTTGTTGCGCGCTGCCTCAGCCATGCTTTTCTCCGCCAACAGGAAGAAGACCACCCAGCTCGAGGACTTCTGCTGTCTTGCCATGCTGGGTCGGGGCCACTTTGGAAAGGTGACGTGTGAGAATATGCGTTGTTCTTTTCTCTTAGTAAGGACGTGTTGGTCGGCGCGGTTCAGACTGGGGGTGGGGGCCGATTCCACTTCGAACTGTCCACCCTCCACATGGAAAGCCAGCTCGGCAAGGGGAAAGCAGGTCCTGCCCCTTCTCTTGGCTTTGGCCGCACTGTTTTCTGTTTGCGGGGAACACAGGGGAGTGGAGGAGTTGGTTTTTATACCCCGCTTTTCCGTACCCTGAGGAGTCTCAGAGTGGCTTGCAATCACCTTCCCTTCCTCTCTGCACTACAGGCACCTTGTGAGGTAGGTGGGGCTGAGAGAGTTCGGAGAGAACCGTGACTGGCCCAGCAGGCTTCATGTGGAGGAGTGGGGAATCAAACCGGTTCTCCAGGTTAGAGGCCGCTGCTCTTAACTGCTACACCAAGCTGGCTCTGAACTTAAGTCCAGCCTCCCACTGCTTTTCCCGCATGTGTGAACCAGACCGACCCTGTAGTTCCATCCAGTGTTCCCTCTAAGCTGAGTTAGTGTGGGCCAGCTCACAGTTTTTTAGCCTCCGGCTCACCCATTTTTGTCTGAGCTCAGGAAGGGATGGCTCCAGAGCAAACTAATGTATGCAGTAGAAGAAGAAGAAGAAGAAGAAGAGATTGGATTTATACCCCGCCCTTCACTT